GATTAAGAGGCCCTGTATGCAGACCATATGCCTTCAGGGACAGCTCAAAAGCCTGGGGTACAGAAGAGCCCACCACAGTGACCAGTATGTTCCAGAAGGTTTTCCACCCCCTTTCTAAATTGAAGACAAGTGTTAAGTAGTCCAGGCCATTTTGATACACATTCACCTTCCTTTTATTCAGCAGATATCTCTGGGTGTGATAGTGGTAGGAACTTTAAGAGTTTTGATAACTAGTATATTTAATGGCAATTGGGAGGGGAAAGAAGTTGTGGAGATTGATCAAGTGTAGATAAAAGTATCATTAAGACCAGAAACTCTGGAGCCAAATAAATCAGGATTAAGTCCCAGATTTACTCTATATGTGATCCTGGGGAAGCTGTGCCTCAGTTTCTCCCATCTTAAAAATGGCAATGGTCATATCACTTGTCTCAGAATACTGCTATGAGGATTGAATGCTTGTGAAATGCTTACAGCAGTGTCTGGTATAGAGTAAGTGGCATATAAGCAGGTATAGGCCACCATTATTATGGAAGCATTCCCAAGGAAAAGGTTGGGGCTGCCCTCTTTCCCCGGGTCCTCATCACCAGCTTCTTTAATGCAGCCCACTCTGGCTCAGTTGGTCTTGAAATCTTTCCTAAGACAAATCTGTTTGAAGCATCAGCATTTCCCAATGACCTCATCACCTCATTCCACAATTTGCATTGTCAGCTGTAGCTCCTGAGATCCTCAGCCTAGTCACCACGGCCAGACCCCCTTATGGCTCACATAACACCTTCCCTTCTGTTCTACTAGTGTCCCACAGGAAGGCTCCTGTTGTCTTGTGTTGCTCTCCTACACTGACAAGATCATGTGCCTGGGTGTCCTCTTTAGACAGCACACCCTTGTTCTGAGTCGTGCTCCATCTGGGGACCCCATCCTGCTCTGGCTAGTCCTTCCGCTTATCCAACTTGGACCCATCTAGGCAAATCTCTGGGGTGAGGACTGCTTACCAGCCTGACTCTCCAGTTCCCTGTCTGCCTGACCAGCAGCACCAGCTCCTGCATGAATCAGCTCTTACCTGTGGTTCTCAAATTTAAGTGCTGAGGAATTCTCATGAGGGAAATGGCACAGACCTGGCATGAGTAAGACGGAGGGTCTAACTCAGCACAAGAATGGATGTTATTCACAAACCGCTCACTACATGCTCCACTGTTGAATTCTCAAGGTTTCTGGGAGAATCCAAGAGGTAGCGAAATCATGTTTCCTATTGATACATCCAGATGACCTTTTCCTTTGCAAGCTGCTAACTAATCAGTAGCTTGTTCAAGGAAAGGAAGGCAACATTCACTCGTTTCAAGACATCTATAAGTTACTTTCCCCCTGTCTTCTTTCTCTTATGTAAATTCTGTTTTTGACATGATTAAATGAAAGCAACGTGTTATAGGTTTCTCTTGTGTGGAAGTAAATGGTGTTATTAATATGTAGCCATACATACCTGAGTTACTGTTGGATAGAGGCATAAATATTATTGGGAAGTGTCATTAAAAAGTTTTAATTTAGCTTTCATTTTAAATTAACATTTTGGGGCCTACCTCCAGAATTTCTCATTGAACAGGTGAAGGATAAGGTGCAAGAATCTGTATTTTTAACAACAGTCTAGGGTTTATGATATGGGAGGTATTTGGACCACTCACCTAAGCTTTCTGTGTCCTTTCCCTACCATGCTTTCAGTGACCCATGGCCCTTCTCTGGAACCTGAGCACTCACTCCCCCATAGTCATGGCCGGAGAGCACCTTGTATTTTATGGCCATAAAATACAAGTTAATCACTTCTTACATGCTGCATATCCTCCGTCTCTCTGCACAAATTTTAAAAATATTAATAATAGCAAACTCAAATAAAAATTATTGAAGTTAGAGTGTCTCCATATATCAACAACATTACAATGTCCCACCAACTGGCAAAACAATGCTCCCTAGAATTAATGTGAAGACCATATTTAGAAAATTGTGAAACAAAACGAAACTGATTTGTAGTCCACCACTATTGTCTTATTTTCTCTCTTTACTATTGCCTAAGCCCCATCAACAATTGTCAGCTTTTAAGATATGAAATCATTAAATCAGGCGCATCTTTTATAGATTATTAAAAATAAGAGTTGAAGGCATACATTTTATTGGACATAGATTGTTCAGTTAAAATGGAGAGATTATATTTGCTTTGATTTGAATACCAGAAAATTATCAAAATTGGCATTTCCAGAAAAGCCAGAAAGGTATGAAGAATAGAAATATCAACTTTACTTTTATTCCTGAAATGTAAAAAACACCATTGGAGACTCAGGAGTCATGAATGTCCTACTACTTCACGGCACTTATTCTGTGCCTATGACATCAGCAAGTGCCTACAAATCCTATCTGGCAAAGCGAAGGACAGAGTTATATTACTGAGTGTACTAAAATATGATTATAGGTGAACTCTCAATTACCTACAATTCCGGATCGACTTTTTGTATTGCTGAAAGATTCTGAGAGCCCCTATGATTTTGTTAGCCTATGATAGTGTCTTTCAATTTCTTCCAGAGTCAAAAACAAATAGCATTCAATTATTTATTTATCTGTACTAAAAAATAGCATTTTTCCTCTGTTGCCTTTATATAAAGTGCAACATTGAAGTTAGTGTAACTCAGAGTATATACCCTTTCTCTGAACGGTTGATACACGCTTAGTAGAACATGGGAAAGAATTCTGTCCTCAGATCCCTAAAAGCTATAAAGAGCCTGGATCACTTTACCATATACAAGCTTTGTTTTAGAAACACACAAAGCCCATTTTGGAATCATATGGAGAAGTCTGTGACATATAGCACATAGACTGATTCTAACAGATGGATTTTTCTTGAAATAACTTCATTAGCTAATCATTTCTTTTACATATACTTTTTCGAGCTAATTGGTATAGCTGCCAGCTGGAGATGCTGAGGACCCTCCGAGGAAGCTGGGAGGCAGAGAGAAAAATCCGATAACTTTACCAGTTCTAGGGCGAAACTTCTACAGATTTCACACTAACCACTACCCAAATTTGACACTATTGACATTGTAGACCAGATGATCTGTTTTTTCCTCCGTGTGTGTGTGTGTGTGTGTGTGTGTGTGAGAGAGAGAGAGAGAGAGACAGAGAGAGAGAGACAGAGAGAGAGAGACAGAGATAGAAAGAGAAAGAGAAAGAGAAAGAGGGGTTGTCCTGTGCGTTGTAGGCTATTAGCAGCATCCCTGGCTTCTACCCATGCAATGCCAGTAGCCCACCCAATGTGACAACCAACAATGACGCCAGACATTGCCAAACGTCCCTGGGAGCATTATCATCCCAGCTAAGAATCTCTACTTTAATAATAGGTTGTTTTTAATTTTTAATACAATTTTTAAAATAATTTAACATATGCCCATATGTATGTATTGAACTCCAGACATAGCTTATATATTAGAAATTGTTGCTTTTCAGTCAGATAAATTAATTTTTCTTTGCTGGGGGTGGGGATTATTTAAACAGCTAATGCTTTTATAAATTTCTCAGTAAAGTAAAAAAAAAAAAAGACAATATAAGTGGCTTCTAAGTACCAATGAATACTAATTGAGGAGTGTCAACATTATCTTCACCATCAAAAGCATTGAAGATCTCTTTTCCTTTAAGGAAGATCCTCCATTTGACTGCATGAGTAGGTAAATAAAATGTAGTGGTGGGATCATCTGAAATGAAAATGATTATCAGCTTAGGTGCCTAGGGCATTTTTAAATCAGGGACCTCATGTAACTTAATGAAATGGACAATGAGAAAACCTGGGTCTGTTTTGACTTTACTATATCCTAATGGAGGGATTTGGGGCTCACAAAATAATTAGTCATTCAGGTGATGTCCTGGTCTTTGAAATTCGGTGGTAACTATAATGTTCACCACCCGGTTTATCACTTAGAGGAGAGCTTTCTGTATTTTGGGTATGGATGGATCTAGGAAGAGTACCAGAGGAGTAAGATGCTAATTACCATGCCTTTTATAAGGGGAAGCTTGAGCCTCATTCTAGTTTAGAATGTAGGCAAGAACGTTAACATCTTGAAGTATGTGGAGAGAATCATTCATGTTAAAAAATAAAAGTCCTAAATTCTATCTGAATTGCTTTCTTTGCAGTAAAATCTTCCTAATACAGATTTGCACAAGTAGGCTTTTAATAGAAAATAAAGGAAAGCATTAATATGTATCAATTCCAAGTTTAAATGTGCGCTTTTCCTCAAAAAATCTAGATATTTGCCTAAAACTTCCAGAAAGATCTGTTTGTGCTGTCACACTTCCCAGAGCCACAGTAAAACTAGGATTTCCCCCTGTGGATAAAATGAGAGTTCCCGTGGCCCGGATTCTCACCTGGCCCTAGCTGACTAGCTCACCGCACACCTGTGGGCAATACATGGTTGTTGACTCTATATATAAACGAGATCCGCCCAGTGCTCGGGGCAGGAGGGTGGCAGGGCTGCAGGAGAGCAGAGCAGAGGCTGGAGTGCTGGCAGCACTGAGGACAGAGGCCCAGAGGGCGGCTATGCGGGACGACTGTGCAATCAGAGGGGCTCAGAGGCAGAGACTGGCTTGCTGCCTGCACACTCGCTCTGAGTGAATGGGATTCTAGTGACTGACCTGCCACCTGGAAATAAAGTTGGATATAACCCTTTCACCCCAAGAACATTTTGCTGTCAATTTCTTTGGTCACACTGAATCCATAGCAAACTTGCCCGGGACTGAAACCCATTGGTAAGACACCCCCTTTATTTATTTTTTTAAAAAGCATTCTTCCTTGGAAATAGGCTATGCTCTATTAAGCAAACGGTCGCTTTTAGCGCTTCCAGAACGCACTATTTCCTTTAGCGCGGGAAAAGGTGAAACCGCGCATTCTGAGTCTCCAGCAGAGGCCCCGCCGCCCGCGCGCCCCGCGCCGCCCGCACCCGGCGGCCCGTCTCCCCTCCGGGCTGAGCACTTACTCTCCGCAGGCTCCTTGGCCCGGCGGCCGCCGGACGACTTCCGCAGCAGGCTGCGCCCGGACGTGAACAGGCTGGTGAGCTCCTCCAGCGGGCTGGTGGGGGTCCGCGAGCGCGCGCCGCCCGCCGCCGGCCCGCAGGGGCTGCCCGCCGCCTGGGCCAGCTTGGCCGCGTCCTGCGACAGCGGCCGGCCGGCGGCGGGGGGCGCTGCCGTCGAGCCCCTGGCCGGGCCGCCCGCGTGCACCGCGTCGTAGGGCGGCGGCCGCTTGAGGCTGAGCGGCGTCAGGGCCCGCCCCATGCTCACGGGCGACGGGGAGGCCGAGTGGCTTTTGGGGTAGCCGTGGGGGGACTGCGTCCGGTACAAAGCGGAGGGCGGCGGGGGGGACGAGGAGAGCGCCGCGGGGGCCGGAGCGGGCCCCAGGGCCCCCGGCTGGTCCTTCTCCAGCTTGGGGTGGCCGGGGGTGGCGGGGGGCAGCGAGGACGGGGACGCCCCAGCCTGCTGCTTCATGTAGGACACGTTTTCCAGCACGGGGAGCTTGGTGACCTCCAGCGGGGTGAGCGGAGACTCGTCGGAGTTGGGCGAGCACTGCACGGGCGCGGGGGGGAACACCAGCAGCGGGGGCCTGTGCGACAGCAGGTTGGGGAAGGGCGGGGGGATGTCGCAGAGCGCGCCCTTGGGAGGGCATGGCCCTGCGGACCTGGCCGAGTCCAGGTCAGGCACCGTGGGAGTAGCACACTGCGAAGAACAGCTGTGATGGTCAAGGTCACATTTGGAGTCTTGGCCCAAGTCGTCAAAAATGGGGTATTTCATTTCCTCGTAGACGGCCTCACTCTGGTCGTCGTCCTCCCTCCTGAAGTCTCTGAGAATGTTCCCCACCATCTCGATGTACACGGGCTCCTCCTCCTCGGGGTCCCCCGCGGGGCTGCTGACCTGGGAGAGGGACGCGTCCCGCGGGAGCGACGTCCTCCGCGGCCCATGCTTTTTGATGTACGTTTCATCAAAGGACGTGCTGAGCTGAGTGTTTGGATTCCGCTTGGGTTTGGGAGGAGGAATCTTCTTTGAATATTCATCGCTGTGGGGTCTTGGTTTGGCCGACACTAAAAATAATAATAAATAATAATATTAATAATATAAAGTAAAACAGATCAGTACAATAGGAAAGCTTTCTTTTCTTCTTTTTTGAGGATTATACTCTTATTTTATTTATGATCTTACTTAAACTTTACATTATAGGATACTAGATGTTTCCTGCATGGTGTCTCCTCAGTCACTGTGCATAGGACCCTGAGAAGGTGTAGGAATGTACAGGGGCCGACGCAGAGCCCAGCTGCATCTCCAGCGTCCTGCAGAGGGACTGTACATCACGCGGCAGAGCCCTGTGCTCCACTCTGCCACCAGGACAGAGCCTGGGATAGTGACCTGGGGTATCCACGTTGGAAGGAAAGCTTTCAAAAAATGTTTGCACTAAGGTTTATGCTTATAAATTACTGATGGAAGGGTGTCTGCTTCATTTCTAGCTTGAGGCTTAGAGTAAAAATCAAGCAGAAGTCAAACATTTTCCATATTCAGAAAAGTCTGATGATGGAATATTAGTAGTATTAATCTTCAATTAATATTAGTAATTCAACACTGATAAATGCATTAAGACTAGGGTTATTCATCCCTTTGCCTTAGGATTTCTAAATAGAAACCTTCAGATAAACCATGTTGGATAAAAACTATCACAGGTTTCATAAAGATTAAAATCTTTAAGAACTAAGCCAGAAACTCAGGGGGAAAAAACAATAGAAAGCCTAGAGCTTCTGTTAGCACAAATGGTTACAAAAATACCATGGGAATGGAGTCCTTTTAATGATGTGGCTATTGCACATGATCACATCTTGCTTTCATTTAGGATAAAAATGCCCCAGTCTGCTAGACTTAATCTCTTCCTCGACTCAGAAAAGTAACTACTATACAGATGGGTTTGATACTTTGGGGGAAATTGATGTGAAAACCTTATGAAGCTAGACAAGTTAATCTCCAAATCTCCAGGTATTGATGATTATGGGGTAGTTCTTTTTTTTTTCTTTTCTTTTTTTAAGTAAGATCTCTTATGATATCCCAAATGCTGTCTTGAAATGAACTTATTAGAGATGTTACAGTGACACATTAGAACCCCACCTAGAGTTTTACAAGAGAAATAATCCAGAGAATAATGTGTAAATTTCAGGAATAACTTCTGGAAACTCCCAACAGATATGTACCAGTGCATCCCAGAGCCTGCTGGAAGCCCTCCTTTAGACAGAGCATAAGCTTCTGACACCATACAGTAGGGTGGAAGGGGCTGGCAACATGTCTGTGATTGAAATCAATTGTTTAGCATGCAGGGAAGGTACTAGAGTCTTGTTATCTCATTATCTCATTGTGTTGATATATGATTACAGTGATTACCATTATTATGCAATGTGGCAGAATGTAGTTGCTTGTGGTTAGTGGTGGTATATAATGTAAGATGACAATGTAGCTTAAAGGTATAACATTATGAGATAATAACAGGCTTCTCTATAATTTGTGGCCTTAAGGGAGGGTGGAGGGTTCCAAGGCACATAGTCAAGAAACACCTGAAATCTCCCTGTTTTTTTTCAACTGGCCTACTTACAAAACAGTAGCTCTTCTAAAACTTGCTAAAGGAGAAGCAAGTGCTTAAAGGTTAGTCAGGCAGCTGCTTACATATCAATCATGCCTTCAGATGAAGGGAACCCATCAAATATTCTAGAAGGCTGTGTGACCTTCACTTCTCTAGGTCATTCTTGCTTTCAAATATTCTTTTCCACTGCCCGTGATGATGATTTTCCTCACTACAAACACCTTTTTGAAGGCAAGTTTCTTTATGTATCTAGACTTTTCCTTTTACTCGTATCAGGAAAAACTAGACGCCATTCTCCAGTGGGGTCTAGCTGTGGAGTCGAAGCAGGGGCTCAAAGCGAAAAGCTGAGAGACATAATCAAGTGAAAAATACCCAGACAGTTTTTTAGAAGGGACCCCAAATGACCAGTATCTCCACTCTGTATCTCTCACTGGTCTTAAATTGTACTGGCTTTGAAATCTACTGGGTATATTCATTTTCACGATTTAAAAAAGTCATCAGATTATTCACAAAAATCTGAGCCCAATAAAGTAAAAGTATACAACACTGAACAGGGTCGACTTAGTACTGGCAGGATTTTAAAAGAATCAGATCTTAGGAGAACAAAACCACCAGAGAGTAAGTACTCTTCTCAAGTTTGCTTCCTGCCCTCCTCCACCTCGGAGTCTTGTTCTAGGCTAAATGATTCACGGTGGAAAATATTTGTGACTATTGGATTCTAGAGATTGACTGGTTTGGGGTTGGGGGAATCCTTAGGGGAAGAAAGTCTGAATAGTGAGGTGCTCTGTGCATGGAGGGTTAACCTACAGCTAAGAATTAGTGTGTCCGTGAGATGGATAACTTCACTATAGGAACAGTCATGCCTAGAATAATATCTTTATTTTTCTCTCACCTAAATTATAATTCACTTTTGTTTTCTTTGACCCTTCCCTAAAGTCTGATATTCCTACCTGGACTGGGATAGTTGTATGGAAAAAACTAACAGGAGAGGCAAAAGTCAGGCATCTGCTGAGCCCAAGCCTAGTAGGATCATTGCATTGAGGAGAGAACATAGCCCTGGATTCCCAGGCAGTGAGGGGTCCATGGTAGAGATTGGAGTGATGTGATGCTCAGGGAAGCAGCAGCCCCAAGAACAGCCCTTGAACCAGCATCCCTCCTCTCATGTGTAATAGGAAGGCAGCCTTTGGAAGTTGCAAGACCAATGCTTGGGTTACACTCAGAATGTGAGCAAATGACACTTATTTTCTTTGCCAAAAGAAATAGAAAATAATGTAATTAAGACCCTTCATATCTATGAACATATTGAAGAAAGAAAAGGTTCTATTCTAGAACACAACACAAAATTAAGGTAGAACAACTTATTCATTAAGAAGGAATTTAGACAGTCCACTTGTACAGTGAGGACAACCTTAATGCCAAACCCAAATACAGAATATTGTCTGACAAGGAGAATAAAATATAATATGTGACTTTTATGGTGACTCTGAGATAATCAAAATTGACATTTACTATGGAGGAAATTGTGTTCCCCCCAAATTCCTATGTTGAAGTCATAATCCCCAGTGTGATGGTATTTGGAGATGGGGCCTTTGGGAGATAATTAGATTTAGGTGAGGACACAAGGGTGGGATTAGGGCCCTTGCAGGAAGAAACTTTGGTTAGGTGCTCACTCCCATCCTCTCCGCATGTGAAGACAGAGAGAGAAGGGAGCCACCTACACACCTAGAAGAGAGTTCTCACCAGAAACCAACTATGCTCGCACCTTGATCTTGAATTTCTGGCCTCAAGAACTGTTGACAAAATAAATGTTTAAGCCCCCCAGAGGGTGGCATTTTGTTATGGCTTAGTAAGCAGTATATTTACTGGGACTTACATAAAGACCTGGTGCAGTGAATGATGAGCACCCACTTTAATTTCACCCTCTGGCACTGGAACGCTTTAATTAGCTTTGTTATTTTTAAGAAGTAATACAACTCTTTCCCAGTCTTCTAAATGTAATTTTCATCTGCCCTAGACCTCCTCACCCCCTGAAATCATGTCACAGCACAGTATCGCTGAATGCAGAGACGCTCCATGTACATCCGGAGCACCCTTCCACCACAAGGCCTGTAATTCTGGACCTTCTTCTCCGTCTGACTCTCTAAGCTCTCATGTGTGCCAACGCACATTGCTGTTTGATTCTGACCCGCTTTCTGGGTGTTGTTTCATTTACTGCTGTCATTTCCTTTGGCGTATGGACTCCCTGCTCCACTCCGTTCTTCTGCCCACCACCTGAGTCAATTCTCCAGGAAGCCCTGCCCAGGGATCCTTTCCTACCTGGACAAGCTGCTTCTCTCTCTCTTTCCCTGGGTGGTGAAGAGAGCCTAAGGCATATTCATAAAATTCAATCACATTTTGTTTCCTGGTCTTCGTGGCTATCGGTCCAAATTTGAAATAAGCGTATTAAGGATTATACAGAGAGTAAAATGTTAAGTAAATTACAGATGATCTGGATGAAGAAACAAATTCATTACTTCAAGACTGAGAGACTTTTTCCAGGAAATATCTGCATCTCATGTTATATCCTCCTTGAAATCTCACAATGTAGTCTCTGTAAAATCAGAAGAGGAACACTTTCTTTTCTAATGAACTGATTTTTCTCTCCATTTATCCTCTGGTTTTACCTTGAGACCAAGTGTTGAATAAATCATTCATGGAGCAATGAAAGTTTGTTTCAACTGTCATATGTGATTTTTTTTTTAAAGTTTACCCTTACAAGGGAAAGCCTGAAATTTTTAGTAACATTGTCACGTAATTTATTCCACTTTAACCTCACTCTTGGGAATTAAGAATTAAAGAAAAATTCATGTTTAAAATGTCATTTCTTTAGAAAGTGCTTAAAATAGACTTAATGTCTAAATGTAGAGATTGAAATATTGTTAATAAAAGAAAATAAAAATTGCATTGCAAATTTCAACATTTAATCAAATTCAACCATAATAAAAAGGTGATTTTTTTTGCTCTTGACTGAATTTTAAATTATTTCTAATAAGCACAAAGATAGAAGCAATAATTCCTGTTCAGCTCCAGAACACAAATTTTAATGCTTAAAATAGAATAATAACAGTAGCTTTGAATAAGCAGAAAGTGACATTTTTGAAATGAGATCTCTGAGCACAAAGGTTATGTATGGCTTTCAGTCATGCCCAGATGATCTGTTTTTCACAGTTAATTTTGGAAATTCACCATGTCCTTTGTCAGCCTATCCTTCTGAAAGAATTTTTTCCTTATTAAAAAAAAAGTCTAATGTAAAATCATGCTTTAGTATCTAGTGATGTTCTTGACCCAAGAAATGGAAAAATGAGACACAACACAGGGAAATACAGTATTTCCCTGTATGGAAAGTCTCTTTGACCACAAAATCCGAGAATTTGAAGAGTTCTTAGAGATTTTCCAGCCCAAATCCTATTTATTACTGGTGAAGAAATA